CTCTCCTCCCCTTTGTCTTGCGCATGTATGGGCATGTGTGAGGTACTTTGTGTATGAGTGGCGAGAAAATTGTCAGACAACCAAGTTCATAACAATTGGTATCGGAGCGGAGATTGGGCTTGGAGCACTGAGGGTTGAGCGCAACAGAGGCATCCTCTCCTTCTGGCTCTATCTGGCGAAAAGTTCCATGGCGGTTCTTATTCTCCAGTGAAGACCCAGTAGAGGAGAAGACATACAAGCGGTGATTGCAAGGATCCAGTGTGTGATTGATCAGGCGCACTGAGCCTGTCTGTGCGCCTGACAGGATTTGGCGAGGATAGGGGTATTTCGCCATCCACCCTTCTGAGCCCAGTTGGTGACTGAGTCCAGGGTGGCGAATTACACCCTATTCCAAGTGATACCGGAGTGGCGACACCAAACCCAGTATAGCGCTGAGGGAGAATTGATCACAGGATCAGTCTCCTGCTAGATTAGTCCTACTCAGGGCTAAATTTAGCACCAGCGGCTTACCTCTGCAGTGGCGAGATATCTTCAGGAGAATTCTCTAGTGCCACTGGGTCAGATTCAGTGAATCTAAGAGTTGGGGTTGAAGCGCGCCACATGGTACTGAGCAAGGCCAACAAGTTTCAGGAGATTCTACGCGTGGAGATCAGTGGAGGAGTGTCTGCATGAAAGGGGCGAGATCAGGGTTCTGTCATCCATAGCCAGAACTTCAACATCCACTGAAGTAAACACTGCATGTGAGTGTGTTCTGTGTGAATCCCTGAGTAGCGATTAGTTTATTGTCTATAGAGTCTGAATTGATGGTATGTCTGTCAGTAGAGTCTCAATTTGGAAATTGTCAGACTGCAAGACAACCATAGCCATCCTCTTCCTCCTCACCCTAACTCATATCTTCCCACTTATTGACCTGTTCTGACTCAAAATTGTTCTGGGACTGTATGACAGTATTGCGCTGCACCCTGTATGATCATTTTGTGACTTCTGTAGAGAAAAGGTAATAATACTGTGAATCTTAGTTTTGCGCTGAATCTATTTTAGCTTGGGCTATCTAGGGTCAGTCAAAACTTAGAATCTGTCCGTCAGAATTCAAGTCTGTCAGTCTGGGGTGAATCGCAATTCAGTATTTGACATTCCTACCAAAGCGCTGACCCAGAATCAGGGAATTTGAGTAGTTACAGTGAAATACTGAAATTCGCTGTGTCAATGGGTATTTCTGTTGATGTCAACAGTAGCGAAATTTGAGTTTAGGGCTGTCAGGGTCCAGTCTACTGCATCGTTACTACTTGTTGCTCTGTTTTAGTTAGTTCTTGTCTGTATCTGTCTCTACCATTGACTGTCCTTGTTTTTTTATGGGCTCTGGAATGTTAGTGATCTCTGGAATGCATTGAAATTGTATGTTTTGATTTCAGTGATGGTTCAGTATCAGGTATAGGGAATCGTTAGTGAATGATTTTACTGGACTTTCAGTCAGTCTGAATACTGACCCCAGGGATTGTGTTCTAACCCTAACTGCTTGTGCCTACTAACCCACCTTACCCTGTGAATTGATAGTGCAGTGATTGTTGAGTGCCTGACCGGATTGCAAATCGCTGCACCTCTTGCTGTCTAACCCTGTTGCTAATTGTTTCTGAAAGGGAAAATGACTGACGCTGCTAAATCGGGTGAGGGGCAGGTAGAGGTTGTGGTCAAGGAGGAAGGGAAACCTTCCCCCACTACTCGACCTCCTCCTCCTCTCACCCCTGCGCAGCGACGAAAGAGGGAAATTGAGGAAAAGCTGCGAGAGCAACAGGCGCTGCTCGCAGAGGCTAAGAGACAAGAGGCAGCTGAATTGGAAGCTGCAACAGATGCCTCCCGAAAAGAGTTTCTGCTGCAGCAAGCTGAGA